GACATCGCCATATTTTCTTCGACATTCGAACAGCATTTGCAGCGCCTAGATGAAGTTCTGACGTGTCTCACAGCTGCCGGCCTTCAGCTCAACACCAAAAAGTGCCACTTTGCTAGCAAAAGTATTAAAATACTCGGAAATATTGTCAGCAAAGATGGAATCCGTCCTGATCCCGACAAGATTACCGCCGTTCTTGACTTCCCGGTGCTTCAACGCGCCTAAGAGCTCCAAAGCTTTCTTGGCCTTGTGTCGTACTTCCGGCGCTTTCTATGAGACTTCGCCACCATTGCTGTGCCACTTCAACTCCTTTCTTCGGGAGCGTCATACGAATGGTCGGACGAATGCCAAATGGCTTTTGACACCTTGAAACGTGCCCTCATGTCCGAGCCAGCGCTTTATAATTTTTATAACGTCGCACCCACTCTCCTTGATACTGATGCCAGCGGACTGACTCGGCGCAGTACTTTTGCAACGAACAGAGTGTTATGGCGAACGTGTGATCGCATACGCTAGTCACACCCTCACAGCAGCAGAGAAAAACTACATCACTGAGCAGGAGTGTCTCGCCGTTATCTGGGCCATCCAGAAGTTTCGACGATATCTTCACGGCCGCCACTTTACCGTCGTCACTGACCACCACACTGTGTTGGTTGTCGACGTTGAAAAATTTGTCTGGACGCCTCGGTCGCTGGATACTTCGCCTCCAAGGATAGGAGTTTGACGTTACCTACAAATCCGCAAAGAAACAACGATGCTGGTGCCCTTAGCCGCTGTCCTTTACCATCCTCATCAGGCACTCCTGGCCTTTCGCCAACTGTGAGTGAACCCATCAAAGCGCCTCCCCATCAGTTTATAGTTCGTTCACTCGCCGCTGTCGACTTTCTGCCTTCGGCAACAGGACGTTTGCATCCCACCAACGCAGCAACACTTACTGTGGCTCCATAATGCAGCACCTTCAAGGCTCCTCTCGTCCTACCAATGCCCGCACCTATCCACAGCTGCGGAACTTCAAGACTGAAAACTCAATCCTTTACCGCTTTGTCTTCCACCCCGAAGGACAGCGCTGGGTTTCCAACGCTCCTTGTTCCCTAAGGGCGCAGATTTTGGAGGCGTTTCAAGATGACCCCAAGGCTCGTCATCTCGATTTTCAAAAACCTATTAACGCATCCGCAGTCGTTTTGCCTGGTCTGGGCTTTCCAACTGCGTAGCGCGATATGTTGCGTCATGCTCGCCATGCCAACGCCGCAAGCGACCCACTTCCTCCCCGGCCGGTCTTCTACAACCTCTTCCGTGTCCTGACGCTCCCTTCGATGTCATTGGCATTGACCTCTATGGACTAATACCAATATCCGCTAGCGGCAAGCGCTGGATTGTCACAGCAGTTGACCACTTAACAAGGTACGCCAAAACAGCTGCACTTCCTTCAGGATCAGCAGAGAACATTGCCACATTTTTTCTGGAGGCAATCTTTCTAAGACATGGTGCACCATGCATCCTATTGAGCGACCGCGGCAAGGTGTTTCTTTGGAAACTACTTGAACAAGTCCTCCACGCATGTAATACGATTCATAAGACGACTTCCAGCTACCATCCCCAGACTAACGGCCTCGCAGAGCGCTTCCATCAAACTGACCGACATAATATCTATGTATATCAATGCCAACCACACCAACTGGGACACTATCCTGCCATTTATGACTTTTGCTCACAATACCGCTACGCAGTGCACCACGGGCTATTCTCCATTCTTTCTCGTCGATGGCCGTCAACCAACATCTTTTTTTTTGACGTCCCTGTGAACTCCTCATAGCCTTCAAGTGAGCACTTAATCTCTCACCTGGCCGACTGTCGCCAACGCGCCTGCCTCAATACAGAGGAAAGCCAACAAGAGCGGAAGACTCGCTACGTTGGCGTCCACCGCGTAGTTCACTTCAATATTGGAGACGAAGTACTGTTGTGGACCCCAACGCAGGTTCCCGGCCTGTTCGATAAGTTTCACTCACGTTTCATTGGCCCCTACGCTATAGTCGAGCAGACGTCTCCTGTTAACTAACAAGTAATCCCTGTTGTCATGCCTTCCAACGGCAGTTTTCGTGGTTCGGAGGTTGTTCACGTGTCGCGCTTAAAACCATTCATGTGACGTACACCACTGTCATAAACAGCGGCCACATTGGCCGCTCACGCGCAAGGGGGAAAACAGTGTAAGCACAATATTCACAGCGTTTCACCATCTTTTTCATCTGCATATAATCAACATCACAAAAACGTCTTCGTTCGAAGCGCTGATCAGGTGATTCGGCCTAATAAACGCCGTCGAGACCCCAACGCTGCTACTGTCTTGCAATATTAAGGATGACTCAAACTTTACGGCATGCAAGAAACAAGACGTTTACAGGCTAAAAGTGTGGTAATCTGCAGTTTATTGTTTTTGAGCGAATCGTTATGTTAGCTTGATTTCTGAAGCCTGAAATTCTTCATTTTAGGCATTCGATATGTATATTTTATATTCCGAATTCTCGATATATCAAACTATTTCACGATCCCCTTCGAGTTCAATATATCCGGGATCGACTAACACGCTTGCCAACGATGCTACCGTAGAACAAATACAACTAAATTTGCTTGTCCCCAAGAAGAGCATGAAGCATAGATTCATTGGGAATTTTTTAAGCTTTTCTAATCCAAATAAACTATTTTCACGGCATCACCATTTTTTGGACTGTGCGTAAAATCTGTCCGCGACTGTATACAGGGGCATTGCAACATCTTGAATCCAGTACAAAGATTAACCAATACCATGCTTGCTACAGCTGTCCATCAAGCAATGAGATACAGTGCCTTCTCTACCATGAAATACTAACGAAGCATACTTTTCAAGAGTTTACACATGTTTATCTCAACCTGCCCCGAAGAAGGTGGTGCAGTTAATGTCATATGCAAAGTATGACCTGTGGGCATTACATCTCTTTCCAGAGAAAAGCAACTGGTGATGTGCCCCTTTCGTTATGAAAGCTTGCGCCAAAAGAAAGTTATTTTGCAGACTGAGGATCACCGCCTCCGGTCAATATTGTGTGCTCCAGGCCTCTGTGTCTACGTAGTGCAAACTCAGGAGATCTTCAGCTGCATGTCAACAAATAAGCTTCTACAGGCTGAAACCATGAAAGTATACGGACCTCAGCCTAGCTTGCAGACTATGAGGCAACTCGGGATAGGTTGAGCTTGTCTAGGTAACAACCCTTGAAAGCGCACAGTCATGGCATGCGAACAAGTGATATTTGAAAGGCAGACATGGTACTAGGGGCTTTCTTCACTTTTTTGAGCAGATTGAATTTAACAGCACAAATATATATTTTTCTGTGCCCATCTGAAAACTTCAATAAGTTTTTTCTAAAGATAAAACAGTTACTGAAAAAGATAAATGTCCATTAATTGTACAAGATGAGAATAGATAGTGAACTGGTTAGAAAATTACCTTTAATGTATGAATGAAAAGCAGAATGAGCAAGAATTGTAGTGCAGCAAGCAATTTTCAAATGTAACGAAAATTATCAATTTAGCTGCTCATTGAAATTTCGCATTTCAGTACAGCTAATAATAGTCAAGAAGGCACGCTGAACAAACATAGGAAAGAAAGCATTCAGACTTTTGCATTTAGCTTTATACAGCATCCTGAAGCTATCCTAGAGCTTCAGAAACTGTTGCAACCAACAAGTAAAAGCGTTTTGTGAAAACGCAACGAATACTGCTCACTTGGAAACACATGTAGCATAATGTGCCGAAACTTTTTGTAAGCTCTTTAGTAGGCACCAGGATCATCACTTGCAGGGATACTGTAGTGCCGTACGTTATTCAGAAATAGTCAAATCTTGTTACCGCGAACCTCAGAGTCACGATTTCTTCAGATTAAAAACTTTCTCAATAATTCCCTGCCACATGTCTGCTGCTCTTATGTGAAATTATTTCACCACTATGAATACTATAACCCTTATATTTCACCCTTCAATACACCAGATGGCAATTTTACAAAAGCCAGTTATGGCTATAGAAACAATGCCCAGCTCTGTATGTGCCACTATTATCACTATCTGAATGCTCACGTATTAATGTGCCTGCCCTATTCATTTAAATGTGTAATAGCCCCATCACCATTACCATCACCTGCACTTGTTGGTTTTCTGTGTCAGGCTTCGCAGTGTTGCGTTTGCTTTGTCGAACAGGTGTGCTCGCACACATAATACCCGGCTGTTTTCCTTAGCTTGGTGATTGTACGTAGAAGCAGCACGAAAGAAATGCAAAGACAGCAAGAAATGCGAAAATATGGGTCATTGCATATCCCGGGGACATAATCGAGGTTCTGTGCAACTTAAAATGACAAAAACATCAACTTGCATGAGCTAATTTTAAGTGCCTTTTAGTTTTTGCCATTAGGATTTAGCACCTTATCGAACACTGCTGCTTTTTAGCAAAGCAATTTGACTGAAATTTCGTGTACAAAAACCAAAAAAACACTAGAAGATTCCAAGGTTGATTAAGAAATAAAAGGGCAAAGATAGCAATTAAAAGTTGCTAATGCAACAAACAGCTATTTTGACTAAAATAATGATCTAAGGTGCATGAAAATTGCTATGGTGATCATTGCATAAGTAATGACTAAATCCAAGAACATTTGCAGTCCCGAAAAAACAGCTTCCCCCCATTACTCAAGGTTTCACTGTAAAGAAGGTACAGTCATGAGCTATACGAGATAGAACAATGAAATTATGTTTTAAAGGTCATAGCAGCTAAATGTAGTTGGCAAGCACAAGTGTTTATTATTCTATATGGGTATGTGGAAAGGTATATCTTGATATTTATTAGACCACATTCATATCAGCACATTGCAAGTAACTGTTGATTAAACACAAATTTGGTATTCCATCTGATATCTCATGATTGTACATGGACCTTAAACAACACAAGCATTGACAAGAATATTGCAATGAACAGAAGAAACAGCTTGCCGGAAAACATCATGGGCTCAGGAACATCAGCTGCACTACTGTCGAACTCTAAGGTGGTCCACTTGATTCCTTCCCGCTTCTGAGCCCTGATGTCGACCTGCATTTGAAATGGCCGCAAGATTTTCACTCAGGATTTGGCTTTCAGCAAGTGCACACAGATTTATTGCCTTCTTGGTGCCATACACATACACAATCAAACATCGTTATTTCGAAGTCAGTGGGGCTGCAAGAAATCTTCAAATTAAGTGGGTTTTCAAATTATCAGAACACTCAAAAAGTGGGATGCAAGTAACTTGAAATTATTTTAAGTAATCAGGCCTGATCGTTTGCAGTTCCAGCTAGTTTGCGGCTCCAAGGGTTATGTTTTCTCGTAATACTTGGTAATTTTGCCACAGACACGGAGAAATGCAAATCTCTTTGCCACCACAGAAAAAATATATAACGGTTGCAGTCAACTAAAAATGCTCGCCTGTGCAAAAGATATGCTTCACCTCAACAATGTAGCGAGACCCGGACAGCATGTCTTCTGTTCCTCACTGTTCCAGCACGTCATGTTGGCACTATTCACAGATTCTTTCTGGTAAGATTAAGAATTTAATAATAGCCACTGTGACAAAACTCACGATATGTTTAGATGGAAAGCGTGATCACTGAAGCTTTCGAAATTTCAAGGGTGTTCCAGGCAAAAAATTTGATCGCCCATGACCGCCACCCAGAAGAAACGCTAATTATGAACAGGCCTTGCCAGGGCGAATATGGCCATTCATATTAAAGGGGGAGGTCACCTGAAGTAACAGCTGAGAGGGGGCGTAATCATGACTTCTTGTTTTTTCTAGCAGATAAAACCCTTCATAGCTTAAATACTGTTAATGTGCGCTCACGGTGGATTCACTGGTTAGTCGATCAGCGATAGGAAGTGGCCTTCAAGCACTGAATGAAGTGATGGGTGAGGGTGCTGACATTTTTGTTTTAGGGGGGGGGGGGGGAGGAAATTGCCCCTACCGCCCCCCCTCCTCTGGATATGCCATGGGGCCTAGCCTATGGTTCGGCATGTTGTGATGTTTGTACATGATGACACGAAGATTGCACTGAAGTACTGACCTAAGAGTAGAGGGTATGATACAATATTTAGGTCCATAGCTGGGAAATCAACGGCGAAAAAAGTCACTCGTGTTTGTGCAAGTCAGAATAGTGGCAGCAATGGCGAAAGCTCTTGTTGGAAAGCTTAAAAGCTATTATATTTGCTGACGAGGTAGCAAACTCGATAACAACGATGCTTTTCCTAACAGAACACTCAAAGCGTAGTTTATGAGAGCACAATCACACGTTCCATTTAGAGTGCGCACAGCCAGAGCCACATTGGCACCGTTGAAGAGGTTACTCCGATGTCCACTCAACTGGCCTTCCTGAATCAATGAGCCAGCGAAGAGCTGTCGCGGTATTTCTTTTTCTTTGCTCCAGTTAACCTAAGAAGGCGTCGAATTGCAACCATGCCAAAACAGTACGGAACTACTGATCACTGTTAAGTTCAAGGTGCACCTATTACGCACGAAAATTAAAAAAAATCATGATTTCTTATCTTTATGAGAGTTAATACAGTATATACAAACGTCGAATTTTTCAAACTTTCTAGGGACCAGGATATCGTGCACAATTCCGGTGGTACGAAAAACAGATTTACACAATTCTAATGAGCTCAAGCTCTCGCATACATCACCCCGAATGAACTTCAATGTCTCCCGTGACCCCCGAGAATGCGTTGTTATAAGGGTCGCGAGTTTGGTCCCTGCCCGCGGCGGGTTATCTGTTCGTCCACTTTTTGCATTATGATCGCATGTAATAGCATTCATTCTCTGCGCTTCCCTTCAAATGATTGTCAGTTAGACCTCGTTAATTAAAGAGCCACATGTACACCACTAAAATATTCAATATAGCCACCTGTGTATTGCAAAGGAAGTAGTAATAGTGCAGAGCAGCCGCGAACACACCCAGATAGCTTGCTCGACCACATAAAAAGCTCATGCCATGTTGAATCATCCGGGCCCAGTATGAACCGAAATCCGTTTTTAAAACCATACCAGAATTACCTTCTCAGGTTGCATTTATGCTTAACAGTGCCTTGTCTTGGTTCTTGAGAGCATGACATTTCATTTGGTGCAAGAAAATGACAACTGGAAATCTGTGTCAGTGCCCCATTGAGAAAGTCTTTTGCATGCTATAAAACAAGGCCCAGAAAATTTTTGAAGCTGCTGCCTACATCTTCTGTTCTGTGGTTAGCGTTATGATTGGTGTGTCTGGATTGGATGATAACTAAACTGAGAAAATTTTTAGGCTGGTCAGGCGCATTTTGGCACAGCATGGCAGTACAGTGGAACCTACTAATAATGATTCCAGATATAACAATTTATCAGTTACAACGACCATACTTCGGTGCACTAAAGATTTTCTATGCTACCCGTAAAGACTGTCTACATATACATATAGCGAATATATTTCAAAGTCTCCTACTGTTACTGAATAATGAATAAAGATACAAGCATGATTGAGCAATAACAATACTTTCCACTGATGCCAAACAAACGAGCACTACGAAACTGGGACATAAACAAGAAGCACACAATACAGGTGCCCGTTCTTATGTACACATCCCTCAGCGCTCGTTTATCTCACATTTGTTATGAAGTGTTTTGTCCGAACATACGTTTTGCTAAGCCACGACTTCCCAGCCCACTAAGGATGGCATAAAGATTTATCGCGTTCCAACACCGTTGTCTGCGCAGTCAATGTTCTTAATCCTGAGGCGCAGTTTACGGCACAAGTGCATGCTTGTCTTGACGTGTAAGAGAGAACAATCCGACACACAAGCAAGCATGTTTTAAAGCATGCTTCAAAGCATGTACAGACTTTTTTACAGTAATACAAAACTACGGTCAGGTGCATATTACGAGAATTTTGAAATCAGCATGAACACAGTTCTGACACCCCCCAAAACTTTTATGGTAATTATGCGCCATCACATCCCTTACTAGTCTCCTAAATGAGCCACAGTACACACAAACATCCCCCGAAAAAAATTCCTGGGTATGTACCTGAGCATGAAGACGACAAGCAGCCCTCTAAACAACCGTCTTGCTATAGGCTAAGCAAAAAGATGGGCAAGTGCTTAGACGCACTTGCTCATCTTACAAGTTTCATTGTTTGCCTCTTGTTCCGCTTCTCAGCACTGACCTCTTTCACGAATAAATGCAGGCATGTAGTTATTTAAGAGACTACTACTTTAGTGAGCTCAGCAGTGTGTTCCCTGTATACGATTGTGGAGGGTCATTTCACCTTCGCCAAATTCTGAATATCCGGACTGCTTTTCCTTTCAAGTGCAACTTACTATATAAAACCAGAAGCTAGGTAAATTTGTGACAACCAGCTGCCCTTTGGTGACAGTTCTTTTTACTTGGACACCAATCTTACGTAGATAACTGCTAGAAGGCCACAAAGCTCAGTCACTCAGACTCGTTCGTACTCGAGTCTGACGATGCTCGTTTTTCAGTGGTAATGACCCAGAGTGCATCATTCTCTGTTGCATTCAATGCGTTAACGATGAAGTATATATGTGGAAAGATGGAAGTACGCCACTTTCGCGGAAAGCCATTCAGCTTGATAAATCGGCGCACCCATAATGGAGATCCCTTGAATTGCGCCCTCGTTAGCCCAGACTCGTGCGCTATCTCAGTCTCAAAAGCTTTCACGCAGATGCACTTCGTTGGTACGGGTAGTAACCTTGCACAGCTCCTAGACTAATTCAGCGAGTAGCGTTTCCAGTTCGAAAAGCATGAAGTTTTTTTTGTTGTTGTTGATGCAGGATGTGATGCTCCGCTTTTGGCTCCTCCAGTATCAGATGCTTTTCTCCGATACACCCCATTCCCGTTGTGCCACCAGGCTGCCGTGAGCTTTTTTTTCTTATGGCCAATCATAAACTGCCATCGACTACCACTCATTTCTGAAGGAAATAGAAAAAAAAAAGGGCACACCAACAGCAGATAACTGAGGCAAGATGGCATTGTTAGAACACTGTAGGCCTTGTCTAGCTTTGCCCAACAGCGCCGCTGCTGATGCTCACGATAGCAATGGAGGCTTTTGACTTCAGCTGCTCATTGTTTCGAGGCTTCCACATTTATTTCTGCTAGTTACCGGTATATAAGACGAGGGTCGACATTTCATTGAGTTTCCTTGAAACAAAAAATTCAACCTAAATTCCGGTGTTTACAGTACTTTTTCTGAAGCATTCCGAGAACAAGTTTTCAAGACTTTCAAAAAAGTAAAACTGCCCTGAAACATTACGCGACGCTCTTGAGCCAGCCTTCCCGTGAGAAAGACACTGCAATGGCCATCGGTCTGCTGCTCAAAAACATCACCAGTGGCGCAGCTAGGGGGTGGCACACCAGGTGTGCCACCCCCCAACTTTTTTTTTTCCCCTGACATTGTGAGAGAAATGATTATTTCACAACGTTACTCCCTTTGAAATCAAGTAGGTGGGATGCGGACTTTTCAGTCATCGACAAAATGCACATACAAGGGTGCTACAGCCAAAATACAATTCGGAGCACTAAAATCCGAATTTGGAGCAGGTTACGGGGAAAATTTTCTGGTGAAAGACCGAATTTGGAGCAGTACGAAAAAAAATTAGGGCTTACATTTTAAAAAATATACGTACAAAACATTCAGCCCAACTAAATCGTGCATGGTGATCAAATCAGCACTGCTATTTCAATAAAAGTAGTATTCTGAATTACTCCACTGAGCAAACAATGAAGTCAACATTAGCATTTGCCGCGCTAGCAGAAACCTTCGACAGACTCTGCGAATTCAAATGTAGCTCTGCCAAGCTGGCTACCTTGAAATTCCGGAGATTCATATAACCAAGTAGGGACGGCAAAATAAAACCTAAAGGACAAGGTTTTCATGTGGGTGCGTGGGAGGGCAGGAGCAGAAATGTCATTCGCTGCTCCAAATGATTGCGAGGAACTCTTTTAGACGCCAGCAATCAGACTAGTACTCACAATGACACACAGCATACAACCACGAATTATTTAACAAAATCTG